CCCGGCGCCCAGGGTGGTGCCTCTGCTGAGGCTCGGGTCGCGCGGCCAGCCTTGCAAGGTCACAGAGCCGCGGGAGAGAGCGCGGCCGCCCTGCCGGTGCAAAGCCTCAGGAAAGGCCGGCCCAGCCCAGGCGGCCCTGCGGGAACCCGCGCGGCTCCCATACCGCTGTCACTGCGCGTTGCAAACCTTGCAGGGAGGAGGAAACCGAAGTCGCCCCGAAAATGCACACGGACGCCCATTCCTGCCTTAGGCGCAAGTCTGTTTGCTTAGATCCCCACCCCCACCCCCCGATTTTGTGAGTTACCTAAACTGCGCCGTGGGCTGAGGCGCTGACACTCAGGACCCCTTCCTTCTTGGTGCGGGGCTCTCTCAGCTCAGGAGGGCCCGCGGGAGCATTCTGAGAACATCCTGGAGCCATCTAGTCGTGCCTCCGAGGCGTGGTGGGCTTATTTGTGCAGAGAAGAAACGGATCCCTTAATGGGGTGAGATTTTTCCTCCGTGCATTGTTCCTATTTCCGCAGTTTCACTTGGCCTCGGTGTTCCTCCAGAGTAATGCACCAAATGAAATTAGTAGGAGAGTGTTTTATAGCGCAGAATCGTGGTTTGAAGATGTTTACTCTCTGTGCCGGACGCGTTTGATGGTGTTCTCTTTAGCACAATTAATTTTGCAAAGTTCAGAAATGTGCCAGACAAGAGTGGCTGGCACGCAGTCACAAGGCTCTGCAGACACACCTTTCCTAAGGAGTTTGTTTTCATCTGTGACTTATCTGATGCGCCAAGGCCAAGGAGTTTGTGAGCGACCTTTGCCTGAAATTCTAAGCTCTAGCATCTAGAGCAACTTGCAAATTGGCAGGACGAAGCTTATTTTCTAAAATAAATATTCCGTTAATAATGTAACTCTAAAACGGGCAACATTGCGTGAAAAATAAATTCCTTATGCAATAATATCTTTGAAAATATGATCACCTAAGAGTGTCTGAGTGGCCACCTCCATTAAATTGCATATTTTGAACACTAACTGCCTCCTGCTGTCCATATGACTGTTTCTAGTCTGTGTACTGCCCCTGGCCCCATTTAAGCTGTACCAAAATTGGTTTTTCTTTATCCTAATTCTTTCCCACAGCTTGAGAGATTTATTAATCCTATTGGCAAATCCTGTCTCTTCCATTAGACACAGCACCTATGGCTCACAGAACTTTTAGGAGCCAACAAAAGTTTTTTTTCATTTGTTTTGAAGTCAGAAGAGAAAATAGATTTAAGTGTTTTAATGTCCACTAATATTTCTGTCTTTTGTACTGAAGGCACACCCAACACAAACGTTTAAATCTGTAATAGCTAAAGAGACTCAAAGATAGCTAGAGCCCAAGAAAATCATGGCATATCTTTGTGGCCCAGGACTGCAGATTCCTTTTCCATGGAAAATAATTTTAAACCCCAGACAACATGACAGCATCATGGTTTGCACCTTATATAAAATGCTGACCTCCGTGGCCTTGCTTCCTCTGCATGCGTTCACTAGTTAATCCGACAACACACCTGTGAACTGGGTTCTGTTCCCACATGTAGGGGCGGATGCAGGGTTTTGTGGGGCCTGAAATTTATGCAGTTTGGGTGGTCCTCTGAAAAGAGAAAACAAAACAAAACAAACCAGCATGTCCAACCTGTTCCAGCAGCCCTCGGCATTGGGTGGAACTGACTAAGTGGATGTCCAGCTGGAAAGAGACCTCTGTCTCAACCCAGAGTGGTTAAATTATCTTACTTTTACAAATTGTATTAAAAAAAAAAAAACCACATGATCACATAAACATGCTGCCAAAGTTTTCTTGTATAGGGGTGAAGAAAAGCTACCCAGAAGCTTGTGCACCACAGAAAATCTGCCTTGTGTGCCCATTTCACAGGTAAGAACTTGGGAATTTATCACAGCTTGTAAGGAATACCTGCATTATACTAAGGAATGGTTGGTTGGGAGAGTTGCAGTATGCACACTTCTCTGTGAGAAATTACAGGTTTTATATTTACATAAAATACTAGATAATATTTGCTGTAAAGCCACTCACTGCTTTAGAAATACATCAGCAATATGGGATGTGACCAATCCATAACTCATTTGGGGGCATTTGATAAGATTCTGCAATCAGTGATGGCCAGAGTAAATGCTCTTTATCTATCATATAAAAATGTAAACTAACCAGTATAGATTGTTAATGTATACTAACCAGTATAGATAATACAGCTCAATTGCAAGTGCTATGGATGAACCCCATTTTTATATACCTTTTCAGGAGCCAGTTTGTTTTTTAAATACCACTCTCTATAACATCTACTATTTGCATTTTCATGTGATGTTATCATGTTTGTTTGCTACTTAAATTGTAGACTACAAAGAGGCTGATACATCTCCATAAGTGTCTGTCAAATAAATTAATAAATAAATCACATAATTGGAAGTAAAAGTATAGGTTGTTTGGCAAGCTGAAATTGAATAGGACCGAGGCAGTGAGATACTGAAGTGTAAATACTCCTCCTCTGCCTGCCCCCCTTCTCTATAGGAATTTATTTAAAAGCATGATGATCCCCATAATGAACATTCTGGGTCTGAAAGGCTTTGTTCTTTACAGAGCCAAAATCTGCAACGAAATTGAGATGCTGGGAGGTTTGTCATTGAATCACAGCATCTTGGCCCTTCAGAAGGCTTCTCTTGATGAATGACCTAATGTGTACAGTGTTTGTCAATCAGCAAGATAAGGTATGCTGTATTCCTGGAAGAATTGTGGAACCAGATAAGAATCTACAATTTAAGCATAGTTATTCACTGGCGAATGGGTGAAGTGGGTAAAGCCATCCCCCATTTTAAGTCTGACTGATAAATGTAGATTTAAATTGGTTTATTTTAGAGCACAGTTTTGGACAAGATTCAAAACTTTAATTAGATCTCAGTAAGAAGACGTATGAGAGTAATCAGCTCATTTGCTCTAGATTTGATATTCTTTCCCCCAAAGTGGTTTGGAATGCTATTTAAGGGACATGGAAAAAAAAGTGATAAACACCATGAAAGAAAGGTCTTCCCAGAATCCTGTTTCTAATATATTCTCTTTCAGATAAAGTGAGTTTAGGGTGTCACATAACACACTTTGCTAAGTCATTACATCCCTAGCACAGCCCCGACTGGACAACTGTATTTTGTTTGTTCTTTTATTATTTATACTGTGCTTTCTCCCAAGAAGGACTTAAAATGGTTTACATAGAAAGACAAACATTAAGAAGTGTAAAAGTAATAATAAAAACACCTGGTTCAGTCAAATCGTAGCATATGGACCCGACACTGAACTCCAAGCTTCCTCTTAACCATGAAGTGGGGAACTGGGAGTTTCCATAACTCTCATTGTCAAGTGGGAGAAATCATAATCTCATGTAGGAGAAAGTTCCTTCTGGGCCAAATCTGTAAGGAACCTTGTCAAAGGGCATCATTATGTGAGGAATACATAAAAGTCTAAGTTAAGAGGGACTCAATTGCATTTTGAGCCAATATTTTATACAAACAGAACACACACACACACATACACACACACTTCTGGTGAATAGCTTGAAATTGCTATTGTTGGAAGTCAGTAATGAGTCTCCTACGGTTTTGTTTTATTTTCACACTGGCCACCGAAAACAAACCAAAGACATAACATCAAATCTTAGTTTGTCCAATTTCCTTCTCTAAAATGGGAGTAACTAAAAGCAGCAACATCAGAGGATTGTCAAAAAAAATCAAGTGACTCAAGTTCTATAAAAGCACACATTGCTGCATCAATTTTGCTATAGTTTCCTTGGCCAGGTATTTTTCTCAACGCACATGCCTTGTCTTAAATGTACACCACTTCAAACTCCTTTTGTAAAAATACATGGCATATGTGTCTCACACAAAGCTAGTGACACATGCTCTGAATGTCACAATTATTTTCATTTTGAATAAACCCACCTACTTGAGCACTAAGGTGGTAGGTGGAGTGATTAGAACAAACCCCTTGTCCAGAGAAGACAAAGCTTGAGGGTGTGTGAGGCCAGAGTGGGTATGGCTGAAATGCCTACAGCATACTCTCTCCCTGAACTTCCTTGTGCTGTTAGCTATCACCTCAGGGCACCTAGAGACCAGTCTTTTTCCTATCTTCTGAAACTGGGGAAAGTTGACTGCCTCGGGTCCTTAAAGTCAACTTCCTGTTCCAGAAGCCTAGGACTGAGATCCAATGGAGGAAAGGATCAGGCTGAGAAGGCCCCTGAAAGGATGGCAGGGATAACCTTAGGGAATAAACCCTGCCTCTCTGCCCCCATCCCTTCTTCCTTCCCTCAGGGTTCCAGGGAGCACTGGTCTAATTGGAATCTCATTTCACATCCTCCCAATTTCTCTTACTGAGGGGCCTTGATTTCTGGCCTGCCTCTATAGTCACCATCACCTCTGCAGCCCCCTCCTCCTCCTCTTCCTCCTTTTCCCTGCTGTCTCCACATCTGTCTCACTCTTAGCTCATACCTCCCTTCCCTTCCCCACTCCCCTCCTCCTTTTTATTCACCAAGCATGCTCCTCTGGTCCTGCTTTCTCCAGTCCCCTTCATATGCTTTATCCGTCACCCAGAGTCATTTCGGGACAAAGCACAGAATGAAAATGGATGCTATCTTACTTCTTACATCAATCATACACTCAGAATCCTGTGCTAATATTCTCAGTTGAGCTAATGGATCCCACAAAAGAGCAATTTGCTCCATTCTCGGTGGTGATATTAAGTCCATTATTTAATTTATTCCTACAGCTCCTGCCCTGAGTGCCTTGCCGGAGGCTTCTCTCTTACAGATGGAGCAAGAAGCCAGAAGATTAAAGGATTGAGCTGAGGTCCAGAGAGAGGTAGTAGGGTTGGTATAAAACCTGACCCAAATTCCCTAAATCCCTGAATATATTATTCTAACTAATACACTTAATTCCCAGACTTCACTATTCTGTGTCTAACTGAAAACAACCCTAAGAGAGTGAGCTTTTGTTTGCAGCTTCACAGTGGAGACTTTTCCATGGTTACACATTTGCCAGCAGGCATGACTCAAGGTCACTGAAACACCGGGTAGTTGGAAAATAGGAATGAGTTAAATAATTAATTTAAATAGCAGGAATGTCCCTCAGGATTTCTTCAGGTACCTAATCTCGTACAGTGCCTGGTCCCCGATCGGAAAACAAAAGTGGCCATCACTATGACAGCTCTGGTAAACAGGGACATTTGCGTTGCTGGTTTCCCCATTGGAACGTAAGGTAACTGAGGTCACTGCTCTCAGAGGACAAGTCTGTAGCTTAGAATTTCTTTTCTCTGACATGCCCGGGATATTTTGTGTAATCACTAAATCTTATGCTCAAATTGTGGACCAAGCTTGACTGTGCGTAGAACTCCATTTGAATCCATCAGTCTAACCTTACCAGCTTTCATTTAGGAAAGAAAAAGAGCTGCATGGGTGACCTCAGGGTGAGCAGTCACTGTCCCCAGATTATGCACCTGGTATTCTCTTTCTGTGATAGTTTTTGTCATAGTTACCATTCCCTTCCCATACATGAATAGTCACAAGCGCAAAGAAATAGATTGACAAAGATTTATACACAACTGAATTCCAACACCATTATCTACAGTAATTTAGCAGACATTGGCTAAAAGCAGGTCTCGGGCCTCTTGTCACTGGAAAATAATAATGAGCATTTAATAACAATAATGAGCATTTATGGAACACTTGTGGCCTGTTAGGTACCAATTCCTCCCATCCTGTAGCCCTGGAGTGAATTGTAGGAGAAGTTGTCATATTTTTTGTTTGTTTGGGGGCCTCTCTTTATTTTTTATTTTTCACAAAGTTAAAGGTGTACAGGAAGTTGCCTGAGGCCACACTACCACTCAAACCACTGCATTTGGCCTCAAACTCACTCTCCTAGTCCCTCCTGGACTCTCCCCCAGGAGCTATTATGGCGGGCCACTTGCTTCTCCTGATGCTTCTAGCTTCTCCAGGCTCTCACAAGCAGCTACCTGTACAGGTAAGGCTTTGATGAGGTTGGATTCTGCCTTTGCTGTCCCCAAAGGATGTGCTCAGATTTCCTTTTCCATCTCTCCCTAGTCCATGTGTTAGTTATTAGTCTCATTGCTAGGACAGAGCAACCTAAGGAGCTCACGGTTTGGGGGTGCAGTCCATAACGGTGGACGGCAGGAGCACAAGGCGGCTGTCACACTGCGTCTGCGGTCAGGATGCAGAGAGGGGTAAATGTTGCTGCCCAGCCCACTTTCTTCTCTTTATGCAATCCCAGGACCCAAGCCCAGGGAATACCACAACCCAGATTCATGGTGGGTCTTCCCAATCCAGTTAATTAACCTGCCAACTCTCTCGCAGACATGCCCAGACCGTGTCTCCAAGGTGCTTGTCTCCAAGGTGCTTTTCTGTCATGTTGACAATTCTATCATGTTGACAATACCAACCATCCACAACCCATGTTCTTCCTTTTCTTGGCCTTTAATAGTCTACTGCTTCCTCTTGTGCATTCCTGCTGCAGGTAGAGGTGTGTGTGTGTGTGTGTGTGTGTGTGTGTGTGTGTGTGTGTGTGTGTGTAGCTCAGTGTGTACATGTGATTATATGTTTGTGTGGTACATGCCCATTGTGTGGAGGACAGAGGTCAACTCCAGATGTCCTTCTGTCCACCTTACTTCTTGAAGCCGGGTCTCTCACTGTGATCGGGGGCTTGTCATTGGGCTATACTGGCTGGCCATTGAGCCCCAAGGATCCTCCTGCCTCTGCCTCCTCAGCACTAAGAGTACAAACATACACCACCATGCCTGTTTTTTCTGTAATTTGGAGTCTTTTGTTATTGTTGTTGTTGCTGTGTGAGTGCTAGGAGTTTGACTGAGGTCCCCATGTGCGCATGGCAAGTGCTTTACAGACTGAGCTGTCTCCCCACTCTGGTTCAGATATTAATTAGTATGCATCAGTGTAGATGGGCTGCTGCTTCTCTGAATTCAGCATTGTTTCTCTACAGGGCCTTCTCCCCCAACCCCCACCCATGATTGGGACTCTCAGGATGCTATTCACCTTTGGTGTGTTCCCGCTTTCTTCAACTTGAAAGTGTCTTTATAGTTTATACTCAAAATCTGCTAAAGCCAGGAACATCCCTTGATGACTCACCACCTTTAGTGAGCCAGTTTGTTCTTTGTATTTACATGAGGACAAGTAAAAGGATAAAAATGTGGCATCACCACTAGACTTCTGAACTCAATATTCAAGAAATTCATTGAATTTTCAATACTATAAATGGCACATGACAGTCAACAAGACAGGCAATGCCACCGCTCTCTTTCATTGCTAGCCTCTTAAGACATCATCAGATGGGCGTGGTGGCCGTGGTGGTTTAAATGAGAACGTCCCCCATAGGCTCACATATTTGAATGCTTGGTCCCTAGTTGGTGGAACTGCTTGGGAAGGATTAGAAGGTGTGGCCTTGTTGGAGGAAGTGTGTGTGTCACTGGAGGCAGCCTTTGAGGTTTCATTAATGAATGCCAGGCCCAGTCTTTGTTTCTGTCTCCTGCTGGTGAATCATATGTAAGCTTTCAGCTTCTGCTCCTGTGCCATGCCTGCCTGCCTGCTGCCATACTCCCTACCATGATGGTTGTGAACTCACCCTCTGGAACTGTAAGCAAGCTCTCAGCCAAATGCTTTCTTTTGTAAGTTGCCTTGGTCCTGGTGTCTCTACACAGCCATCAAACAGTAACCAAGTCAGCAGCACAAAGTACTCAGGAGATGGATAAAGGGGGATCAGGAGTTCCAGGTCATTCTCTGCTACTTAGTGAGTTTGAAGCCAGTGTAGGCTACATGAGACTCTGTCTTTAAAAGACATAAAAACAATAAGACAAAATGTGGTCCATGTGGGAAATATAGTGGATCAGCAGAGTACATGATAAACACATGGACCTAATTTAAATTTACTGGTTTTTATCACTGTCTTTTATTTTCTGTTCCTATCAGCAATGAATAAAGTTTTAGGCCTAAAGCCTGAACACTTGATTTCACAAATGACCCAAGATTAATTACAGGCCATTAAGGTATCAATAATTAACAGATAATATTCAGGGTTTTTTTTTTTAAGGAAATTTATTGTACCTTTTATTTTAAACCTTGTTCATTTGCTAAAAGTTAAAAGTCTGTGGACACATCAGCTGATTTAAAACTCAGTATTTGGGGACTGATAATATTGCTTCTTTGGTAATGTTGCCAGTTACCCAGGCTCAGTTTCATCCCCAGGGACCTATGTGGTAGGACAAGAAAACTAACTCCTCCACGCTGACCTCTGGTCACCACATGAATGCCATCACCCATCACCCAAACCCCTAGAAAGAACAAATAAATGAAAAAAATAGAAAAACATTTTTTAAATCTACTATTTATTCATTTTTTTTGTATTTTAAAATTGCTGTTCAAGTGAGAAGAAACATGAAGACTCAATCCCCACAATTAACCTAGTATCAATCCCCCAACTAACTTAACACAGCAGTAAACATATATTTTAGTAATTTGCCCTTACTTCCTTCTTTTCTATCATTGTAGAATGATGAACATCCTGGTTCATCCCTTTGCAAAGGCATTGGGAAGTTACACAAAGTTCTATGAAGAAAACCAACCTTAATCGAAGATCAGGTAACACTGAGGAAAACGAACAAAAGACAATTCATGAATTGCAAAGCTTTTCAGAAACCTGAATTTAGAGTGGATCTTCAATTATAACATAACAGGAGATTCTGTAATGATACAATGTACATTAACATAACATTGCACACGGGAGGGCCTTTCCCCAAATCCATTCTCTCCTTTTTCAAGGAACTCAGGTCGATTGCCCTTTAAAGAGCCAGTCCGTCCCTAGGGAGGCTTTAGTCCCCAAAACTCTGGCAGATCTGTCCTCATCCCTTGGCTACACAGTGACCAAGTGGACAGAGTATATAATGACAAGTTCTCCAAAAGGAAAGGGCCTTGATTTGTAGCACTGGCCAATTTCCATAGTGTCAACACTCTCATCGTGGCTAATTCCAAGCCACAAAGGCCAAATCACTGGGCAAATTGGAAAGACCAGTTATCATCTGAGGATGAACTATCCCTCGATCAGAACACCAGTGTCCAAAGCAAGAGGCACTGGGTTTGTGGATAAAGAAATTCCAGCATTTACTGGTAAAGCACCTGTCACAGGGTTCCTTTGGAAAGCGCCTTCCTGATAATTTAGTCAGCTCAGAGCAGAGAAGAGCAGAGTAGAGAAGGGAGGGGCTAAACTGTAGGGTCATCACTGGATGCGAGCCAGCCTGAGCCTCCAGACTGCAGTTATATGAGACAGTGAATCCCTTCAGACCCTTCTCTGCCTCCCCCCTTACCATTTGTTTGTTTGTTTGTTTGTTCTTTGATATGTCGTTAATTTTCCTTTTATTAAATCTGCCTATATTAGGTTTTGTTTTATTGAAAGAATATGACCTTTTTTTTTATTCAAAAAGCTTTTCAAAAGAACAAGTCAGCAACGGCAGCTAGAGTGTGTTATCTCCCACATATCCCACAGTTCACTCCCTCTAAGAAACATCCCCCTCTCTGTCCCTACAAAGCAACCTGAACCAATAACTGTCTGTAACCCAAAGCGCTGACTGCCATGAAGATGGGTCAGACTCAACAGGTTCCAAGTGGCAATCACATTCTCTACTGAACACACACTCCACCTCTGCTCCTGCTTCTCCTCAGCTCATGAACTCGGTGTGTGCCTGACGGGATAGGAAAGAAGGAAGGGGTGACATGATTCTTGCACCTTGTTTTGTACAACATCGCCAGTTCTAGAGAGAAACTGACAACGCATTAACACAAGACACATAAACATAAAAATGAATGACAGGTCATTGTCAACTTGAAGAAAGTGGTTTGGGAGTAAATTAAGTATATTTAAGGAATAATGGCGGTGCCTGCCATTTCAAATGGGATAGTTTGGGCCAGAGAGGGCTAGAGGATATGAGAGTTGGAGTCATGGGGATATCGGGCACATAAGCAAGCATGTGGTTGGGCATGTTCTAGACCTGTCAGGAGAAGCTAGCTAGAGCCTAGTAGGCATGAGAAGGTTGAGAGATATCTGGGGATCAGATTGGGTAGAGCATTGTTAGCATGAAAATGATTTTTTATTTTCTCTGTACATAATGGGAGTATTTGAAAGATGAATCCTTCTCATCCATCTATGAAGAATGGATTATAAGGGTATATAAGAGAAACCATTGAGTTCCTGTCACAGTTGTCTGAGGGAGAGATCATGTTGGTTTCGATGCACATCTTTCTAGGTTCCTTGGTGGAACACCATAATTACTTAACCCCACCCTTCACATCCTGCATCCCAGCCTAGCTGCCTGTTCACCTGTGGGTTTTATTGCTGGAGTACATGTTATAACTCTTCACAGGCAAGTAGAACTTCCTAGGACATAGTTTCTGAGACAGAAGCTTGTGTAGAGGTTTCTTAGAGAGGGTTCTCAGTACAGTGTAGTCTGTCATGGAAAAGGGAATGGGGCAGGACTGGGCTTAGAAAATTCATTAGCAACATGCCGAGGCCTGAGCTTTACAGCTGGGATGACCCTTAGTGCTTTCCTGGGTTGTGATGAAAGGCAGAGTCCTTCATACCCCAAACAGTGATCAATCATATGGCCAAACCCTCGGAGGAAGAAGGCATGGCCTTGGGTGAAGGGAGTTGACAGCTGAGGGATCTTTCTTGGCAGCCTTCCCAGTGACTCAAATAGTAAGACCATTATTCTTGAAGGGGAAGTCTTGGCATCCATACCATGGCATCTACCACACTGCCACTTTTTGGATTTGTCACTGAAGCTATCCTGGTTTAATTTCTCATTTCTCTCACTTAGCCTGCAGCCTGATAGTCCATCATCAGAGTCATGCCCCCTGGTCAAAGCCAAGTGGTTCCTTATTGCCCACAGAAGAGCAGAGAAGTCTACGCTGCACAATAGCATAGTGCTCGGAACCTGCTGATGACCACACATCTTACAACCTGGACAGGCAAGCTCATTAGCACACCCTAAATTCCAGAGTCCAGCCTGAGGTTCTTTCCTCCTACTCCACTTAGCAAAATCCTGTTCTTTAAGACTAGCTCAAATGCTCCTCTTTTGCCAGAGCTTCTCTTGGATTCTTTATTGCGTTTTACCCAGTGTGACTTGTTAGTTCGGTAAGAGCAGCAACATGTCGATGCTATTGACTCTCCTTTAGTCTCTAGTCTCATAGCGCAAAACAGCCTCTCAGTATGTCAGTTTGTCTTGGGCCGTCCCAGTTTTTTCAGTGTCTAGAAGATACCCTGAGGAGCAATAGGAAGGAAGGATTCTAGACCTAAACAATTTATATTCAAATTTGGCTCCATCATTGAATAGGTCTAGAACTCTAAGCAAATTAAGTGTTGCTTCACCTTGCCCACCTCCAAGACAATGGTAATAACAATAGTTGGGGTCAAGTGAATTAGTCTAAGTTGAATAGTGAGAGCAGTGGTTGCTCTTAATAAGCATATCGACGAGCATTGGAACATGGTTATAGCTAGAGATCACTAAAGGTATAACCTTTAGTTATATAAAGGACCTGCCTGTGTGACCAGCCGTCATAGTCACCCACTGTCTTACCCTGAGTGCTCTTGTTGCTGAGATCCATGACCTCAATGAAGGGCCCTTTCACAGCTGCTCTGTGGGGAAATCTGTTCACAGGGTTCTTGTTTTCTCTCAGGAACATTCTTTAATGAGTGAAGATATTCTTGCAAAACACTCTGGAATTCTGTGCTTTCCTGGGGCCCTTTCAATCTGGACAGAGACCTGGTTTTATAATGAAGATTATGCAGTTTTCCAATGTGGAAATTTTTTGAAAAGCACAAAGCATCATATTTATAAATGAATAGATTCACAGACACTTGCAAACTGAAAACAACCCTAGAGATTTCTTAGTCCAGGGGACAAGAAAACAAGGAGATTAAGTGACTTGCCTAATTCAGACTAACTTATCCAAGTTCTTGAAGGACAGAATTACCCAATAACATTATCCATTTCAGCCAAAAGATGCTATTTCCTTCAGTATGTATAATTCGGACCAAAATAGATCTAACTTGTTAAATCTTGTCAGAACAAAAAAAGGAATTTTGTTTATGCCTAAGACTTATTGTTTCACTTAAAACTTATCTTGATTTGGCATAACATCTTCGTTGTCTCATAATTAACCTTTTCACAGAGGACAAATAATTACCACAATTATTTATCCAATTATACCTTTAATAATTTCTCAAAAGACATTTGAGTAAACTGTCTTTTATGTACCACACAGTAAACAAGGAATTGGAAACTATTTAAATGAATGAGCCCTGGTGCTCTTTGAGTGGACCACATCTGTAGACTCTCGTTGTCTACTGGGATGTTCAAGTTCAAGGCATTTTAGAATATGGGTTCAGGCTAGGACATGATTTTCACAAGATAAGCATTAAATATTGTTAGTCATAAAATCAGTGATCAGGTTTAGAGCCTGCTTACCATGGCCATAGCCAGTTACCATGACACAAGAGGTGTTCTCAAGAAACAAATAAATAGTTCACTCTAATCTTCTCTCCTTTGCCCTAGGGTTGAGTTTCACACAATCCAGGGTCAAACATAAGGCATCACAAATTTTGTAGCACAGTATTGTGTTATGAAATAATTTTAATGAATATGTGGAATTTTAATATTTATATTTTAATGAATATGGTGTGTTGATTGGTGTTGGTGTGGGATGCCATGATCAAACAACTCTGGAAAGTTTAGGGGAAACACAACATTAAAGTTTCTTTTAATGTGCTTTTCCTGAAATGTTAACATCTCAAAAGGGAGACAGAGCATTGGACAAGGTCAAAGTCACTTACCCCATGCTTGCAGGACATTGTCCATGATTACTTCAGACCAAGTTCAATTCTGTGTCTATATTCTATCATAAACAAAGTATTGTTTTATTTACTAACACATTATGCTATAGTTTAAGCCTCACTTATCTTTTATATTATTAAAGAGAATAAATTATTCAAGCCATTTATGTAATACTCTTATCTGTACTTGATAAGCATTATTAACATTATTAACCCTCAACATCATTTTCTAAGCAGGTTTGAAAGGATCTCAAATCCCTACCTTCTGCATTAGGAAACAATTCGATGTATTTGCCTGCCATCAAGACCTGCACATTTTAGCTTTGGCTTCCTTTCTGATCTCCATTCCCATCATTCTCCTATAGTCTAGCCCTTGGTCCACAGCTGGGTTTGCAGTTTGCAACCTTAGACTTATTAGTTCACTAGAAGAGAATGGAACCCTAGAGAATGGAGTCATACAAATCAACTCACAAGAGATTAATGTGTAATGCATAATTGATTTATTCATTCAAACTAGCCAGATGTTTGTGTTTCTTGTCTGTGACCTCTTTTTGGAAAAGTAGTCATTGAAAACTTGTGAGTTAGAATCTGTGCCCAAGTATAATTCTTGATTCTGCTTGCTAACTGGGTGATCCCAGGCCAGGAGACCAGTGGACTTTCTAGTGTCTATCCACATCAAAATATTGGGGATAATGATAAACTTTACCTCTCCAGGTCATTGTGATGACAAAAAGAGAGAATATTTCTCTTGTATATTGCTTAGACCAGAATTCAGTGCACAGTAAGCCTGCAGCCAATATGAGCTATTGTTTCTAGAATGGAAATCCACCAAAAAAAGTATAAAGGAATTAGTGTCAGACATTGTATTTTTCAAGATGCATTATAATCTTATAAGTTCCTGTTAATAGCTCCATCCATTCAATAGTTACTCACACTGAAATAAGTTCAAACATTACCAGAGTTCCTTGGTAGTCCCTCATCCTATGGTGTTCATATGCAAATGAATTCATGGATGGACACGGAAATACAGATTCACAAATCCACCTATGCTTACCTAATTTTCTCACCTCCCTTCTCCAGCTGGCCCCTATGTTCAACTTAAAATGCTTAAAAAGTAACCAAGACCAAGTTCATTACTTCAAAGCTCCTTCTGTCCTTGCCATCTAGTCTCCTGCTTCACACAGTTTCAACCACAAGTCTTCCTCAATCGCTTTCCACCTTATTTCTGAGTTCCAAAACAATAGCTCGTATAGTTGAACCCGGATGTCACCGATCCTGCTAAAATGGCCTCCAGCCAGCCTCAGGAATCTCCCTATCTCTGTCTCCCCAGCTATGGGAGTAGAGGTATGTGCCACCACACGTGGCTATTACATCTCCTCCCTCACACACTCTAAACGCCTCATCCTTCCCAGGATGCCTCCAAGCTGTTTCATTTCCTAGAATCGCTCTCCAGCTCCCTACTTCTCGTCCCGACTCCAGTCTACTGGTCTCAGAAATTCCTCCCAGATCCCCCAGGCCTTTATCACATTTGCAATCAAGGGATCCTTCTTTCCTGTGTTCCTCCTCAGTCAAATCATGCTGAATGACCGAGAGGACAAGGCCCTATCTCTTTTGTTTACCCCAGGGTCCTACACAGAGGCAGTTACTCAAGCTATACTTGAATGGGTAGATTTAACCTATTTAACAGCCTATACTTCCTGTGACATTAAGTGCAGGCTTTGAGCTGGCAGGTGACACATCTCTGGTGCACAGTCACGTATGGCAGAGTAGGATTCAAACTCATGTCTTCTTACACCACTATATACTAGGCCTTATACCACCACAACCCCAATACACATATGTAGCATGAATCTTAGAAGGTCTTATTAATAAAAACAAACCTGAGGCCAGTTATTGGGGTG